TTGTACTACTACTCTGGATATTTTAAAACTTTTCTTTCATAAGTGTGTCCATATATTTTAGGTTTATAAAAAATGTGCACATAATAATTTTACCAACCTTCCATTTTTCCTTTGATATTATGTTTTTATTTATTTGTTTGTTTTTTAAAATATATCTTTATTGATTTCAGAGAGAGGAAAGGAGAGGGAGAGAGAGAGAGAGATAGAAACATCAATGATGAGAGAGTCATTGATCAGCTGCCTCCTGCACACCCCGACGGGGGATCGAACCCGCAACCTGGGCATGTGCCCTGACTGGGAATCAAACGCCGATCTCCTGGATCCTAGGGCGACGCTCAACCACTGAACCACGCCTGGCTGGGCTGATATTATGTTTTTAATCTTACNTGGGCATGTGCCCTGACTGGGAATCAAACCCCAGTCTCCTGGATCCTAGGGCGACGCTCAACCACTGAACCACGCCTGGCCGGGCTGATATTATGTTTTTAATCTTACACACATTCATATATAAAATATAACTTAATAATTTAAATTATGAAATGTATGCTATCACACTAAAACACTATAATTTTCATTCTCAAATTTATAGATATTTAGAGGTTTTTTTTCAGTATCTATCTCTTTCAATCATATGCCATTGGTATATGAATATTTTACTAGGAGATATATATATATATACACACATAAGTGGTAGAGAATCTTATTTTCAATTTCCTTCTTTAAAGGTGACCATTTGAAAATTTCATCTACATTACAACCTTTGGAAATCTAGAAAATTTCTTATATAAAATACAGTTGAAAAGATTGTTGACATATTTGGGGGGAGAAATAGAAGATTTGTCATCGAGAAATGAGAGCGCCTTTAAATATTTGAGAAATCATTATGTTAAAGTGGGAATAAATTTATTCTATTAAAATAAAAAATTTTAAAAAATTTATTCCATTAAACCACAGATGGTAGAACCTGTTGAGCACTCTAACTAGATTCATCTTTTTCGAGAAGTAGTGGAGGTAAGCACCCTGAGGATTTGATCATTTTGTAAGACTGTTTAATTGTTTTATTAACAGGAATTTAGGGTCCAAATAATTACTTTACTGACTGGGAATCAATGAAAATCAAACAATCTGTTGCTCTCATATGTACCAACAAATTGGAAAACAAACAAAACTTTTTCTTATCTCTTTCTGGAAAAACTATTTTTTTAACATAATTACTCTTACTGCAGGGTTACCTCAGATCTCTAAAGGGTGATTTCTCACTTCCCCAATGAAATCATTTGCCTGGAATGACGATGGAAGGCTTTATATTGCTTTACCTTAGGACACTGTAATTGCCATGGGCAACCGGATCAGAGCCCTCGCTACCTCAGGGCAGAGCTGCAGGACTTGCTTCTGCACAGCTTAGTGCAGGGACCAAGTTAACATGCATCAAGTCAAGAGTATATGGTAAATATTTTTGGTATGAAAACTCATAGCAGAAAGTAAGAAGCTTAGAAACAAACTGAAGGACATCCAATTTGGAGAAAATAAGGAAGAGCTGAAAGACTGGGAGAAATTACTAAAAGTGTAAGTATTATATACGCATTTGAAGATATTGTTTGGACCAGACAAATAATTGGTAAATTGCCTTCTAGATGCAAAATCAGAAACTAGAAGATAGCAAAGGAAAAATTATTCTTGTCTCAGTCAAATTGGAAACTCCATCTGGAAGAAGTGAATCCCTGCTCTCCACTTGTCTGTCTATCTGGCCCTCCCACTGCACTGGCTTAGGGTAGCCCTGATAATAATAGGATCAGTATCTGATGAAAAAGGGAAGTATGCTATAGCCATTACCTGTTCCTTCCCTGCCCCTTTAATGCTTTCTAGTCAGAGAATACTTAGCCATCTGTTAAGCAAATTTTTTTAAATTCTCACCTGAGGATATAGTTAGAGAGAGGAAGGGAGAGCGGGAGAGAGAGAGAGAGAGAATCGAACCCACAACCCAGGTATGTTCCCTGACTGGGAGTCGAACTGGCAACCTTTCTGTGCACAAGATGACGCTCAACCTACTGAGCCACTCCAACCAGGCACTGCCTCTGTACTTAGAAGTTTAGAGGTAAAAATAGCTTTGGAGAGAATCTAGTTCTATCTTTAAGGTCAGTCATACTGCTAGTAAGTGGAAAATGCTATTTATCTTTACTACCTTAATTGTGAAGAAGAAAATGAGATGTAACATTGGAACCTAGTCTGTTCTACTTGGATTAAGAAATCCTAGGGAATTAGTGTGGAGAGGATTTTCTAGTTTTTTCCTATATTTTGAAAAATGAAGACCGACAAACCTTACCGTTTATTAGATATTGGAAAGACAGTATTGGCAGGAAATTTGGATATTTTCAGAAAATCATTTTTCAAAGTTAAGATGATCTTTCAAAAATGTATAATGCCGCTAACTTTATCTAACGTGCTGTTAACCATTAGCTTTCTCCGCCTCTCTCTTCCTCCCTGCTNAAAGTTAAGATGATCTTTCAAAAATGTATAATGCCGCTAACTTTATCTAACGTGCTGTTAACCATTAGCTTTCTCTGCCTCTCTCTTCCTCCCTGCTCCNATCTTTCAAAAATGTATAATGCCGCTAACTTTATCTAACGTGCTGTTAACCATTAGCTTTCTCCGCCTCTCTCTTCCTCCCTGCTCCCCCCCCCTCTTTTTAATGTCATCCTAAAATAAATTAATATTGGTAGGCTTTACACAGTGGATTAAATGCTATTAAAAGGCCCTCATAGAGTCAACTTTTATCTTTTTTAAATTAATAAATGGAACTCTTTAGAGTCTTTTGCAGTCTTAGAAATGGGAATCTCTTTCCTTTCCAGTGTTTATTTGCCTTCTTCTCTCCCCTGCCCATGAAAATACACCATCAGACACAGCAGCATTGGCCCAAATCTTCCACATGGAAGTGAGAATCCCATGATGGATGACAGTGCTGAGGTCGTTTAAGACCTCATTGATATATTTCTATTCTTGAGTGACAAAAGCTTCTGCATTCTTCTTAAAACTAATAGCATAATTTAAATGCAAAGAGGGAAGCCCTTAAAAGGGTAGGACTTAGTGCTTCAACAACCAGGTTAAAATAACGTAATAAAAGCTTGTAAACAGTTTAAACATTTTTAAAAGATGGAAAAGTCTCACCTTTTTTAAAATATATGTTTTTTGTTGTTGTTTTTATTGATTTTAGAGAGAGTAAGAGAGAGGGAGAGAGAGAGAGAAACGTCAATGATGAGAGAGAGTCATTGATCTGCTGCCTCCTGCATGTCCCCTACTGGGCATCAAGCCCGAAACCTGGGCATGTGCCCTGACCAGGAATCGAACCATCACCTTCTGGTTCACGAGTCGATGCTCAACTACTGAGCGTGCCAGCTGGGCTAAACATTTATAATTGGTTAAATTATGATTACCTATACACTTTTTGCTTTTAAACTTTAAATATGTATTATGTTAGTTATATCCAAATAACCTGGTTTAANCTTTAAATGTGTATTATGTTAGTTATATCTAAATAACCTGGTTTAACAAACTATTGAAGAATATAGGTGCATCATTTTAATTAGTATAAGGACAATAATTAATTGCAAATAAATAATTATTGTGCACTGTTGGTTACACAGGGCTAAAGCCAAAAATGTTTTCTGAACCACTGGAGGTTGTATACGGGGGTCAAGTGGCCACATGGTGTCCAAAGTGTTATGCAAAATGTCAAAAAACATTCAAGAGGCAATTTACACACTACTTAATTTTTCTCTTTTTATTTTTATCCTCACTCAAGGATATTTTTTCCATTGCTTTTTAGAGAGAGTGGAAGGGAGAGAGAGAGGAAGATGTGAGAGAGACACATCAATTGGTTGCCTCCCGCACTCACCCTGACCCTGGCGGGGGATGGAGCCGAGGCACGTGCCCTTCACTGAGATCGAACCCGAGACCCTTCAGTTCGCATACAGGCCAGTGCTTTAACCACTGAGCGAAACCGGCTGGGCAAAAGCTATTGTTATGTTTGCAGCGCACCATCTAAGGCCTGTTTCTGAAAGGTGTTGCGGATTTTGATAAATCCAGGTATGTCAGGCATGTTTAGAAAGAGACAAAAGACAGAGTCAGAAGAGACTGAAAACACAATGGTGGTTCATTCATAATTGGTCTTTAGTGATGGAAAGAAAATTCTGATTAACCAATTGATTATTAAAGGGATGAAACAAATGTTCTTCATCTTCACAGAAATTTTCNTGGAAAGAAAATTCTGATTAACCAATTGATTATTAAAGGGATGAAACAAACGTTCTTCATCTTCACAGAAATTTTCAGAGTCTCACCACTGCTGCTTCTTTCCAAGCAAACTGCTTCTATTAAGCTTGTTAACATACTGTCAACCACTTTATGATTCTTAATTTCAAGAACATTAGTCTAGTCCCCTTAGCCTTGCATTCAGAGCTAATTGCACCCGGTTTGCTCCTGACTGACCACTCCAAGCTTCATTTTTATTGCCGCTCAGCATGCCCTCTTCTCCAGACAGGTCACTCAACTCACAGCTCCCTGAGTATGCCTTTCATTTTTTTACCTTTGTATCTTTATTCTTATTACTCCCCAACCTGAAATGGAATTTTCCTTCACTTTTGTCCAGCAAATTCCATACTTTTAAAAAGTTTTGGCTTAAAATAGTACCTACCCTGTGACACCTTACTTTACCACTTTGGCATAATTTCTTTCATCTTGATAATATTTAGGGTATTAATGCACCACTCACTTATATTTGCTCATTTCTGATTTTATACTTTTAATATGTGTATCTTATGTTCCTAGTTATGATAGGATCCATATCTAATCCTCGTTTTTCACACTTCTCCCTCTTTTCACAGCAGTTACAGATGTTAGATATTAGCCAATTTTTTATAATACTTCATTATATTAAATTGACTTTTAATTGAAAGCTGGTTATATTTCTTTTGTATGTATACACTAGATATAGTCCTAATCATTGTGTGATATTTTCCTGATTCTTTTAAATTTAGGTACCTGTAGACTGGATCCATGGCTCACACAAATGAATCAGTGGTGTCTGAGTTTGTGCTTCTGGGACTCTCTAACTCGTGGGATCTTCAGCTTTTCTTTTTTGCCATCTTCTCTATGGTGTATGCGACGTCCGTGCTGGGCAACATCATGATTATTGTTATCATTTCCTCTGACTCCCACTTGAATTCCCCGATGTACTTCCTGCTCAGTAACCTTTCTTTCATTGATATCTGCCAGTCTAACTTTGCAACCCCCAAGATGCTTGTGGACTTTTTCGTTGAGCACAAGACTATCTCCTTTGAGGGTTGCATGGCCCAGATATTCCTTCTGCATAGTTTTGTTGGGAGTGAGATGATGTTGCTTGTGGCTATGGCATATGACAGATTTATAGCCATCTGTAAGCCCCTACGCTATAGCACAATTATGAATCGGCGACTATGTACAATCTTTGTGTTTATTTCCTGGGCTGTGGGTATTCTTCATTCTGTGAGCCATGTGGCTTTCACAGTGGATCTGCCATTCTGTGGCCCTAATGAGGTAGACAGCTTCTTCTGTGACCTTCCCCTAGTGATACAGCTGGCCTGCATGGATACCTATGGGATGGAAATTATGACACTAACTAACAGTGGTCTGATATCACTGAGCTGCTTTCTGGCCTTGATGATTTCCTACGCCATCATTCTGATCACTGTCTGGCGCCGGTCCTCCAGTGCGTCATCCAAGGCGCTTTCTACATTAACCGCTCACATCACAGTGGTGATTCTGTTCTTCGGGCCTTGCATTTATTTCTACATATGGCCTTTTAGCAGACTTTCTGTGGATAAGTTCCTTTCTGTGTTCTACACTGTTTGTACCCCCATGTTGAACCCCATCATCTACTCTCTGAGGAACGAAGATGTTAAATCAGCCTTGCGAAGGTTGAGAAATCATCACGTGAACTGGAAAAACTAGGCACCACCATGAAGGTGTAACCCTGAATGCGAGTGAAGAGCCTCCGCTGGATCACAGCACCATGCCAATTACTTCTGCTAATGACACGGGGTATTGAGTTATAGAATTGGATTTTTATCCTAAGTGCAAGGAAATTGCATAAAGTCAGCTCCTGGTTTAATATTTAAAGATAATTGAAACAAATTGTTTATTACTTATAATTCTAAAGTACAAATTCTCTTAAAGTATTTAATAATTCTTTTAAATATTTTATAAAAAATTTAGAGTCTAATCTACGTAAAACTCTACTTTTGTTACTAAACTTCTGATTCTCTTCAACTGAAGTGATATTTTATACTTTGTAATCACAAAGCATACACAAATTGAGTTCCTGATCTCTTCATTCAACTTATTCATAACATTTTTAAAATATATTGACATAGTAGAAAAAATATTGTGTTTTACAACATGGGTTTTATCTCATTAATGTACATTTACTAGCTTATCTTTTCCTGTGTTTTGAATATTTGATTATTTCTAATTTGGTTGTTATATAATTTTGGTTATATATAATTTTCCATACTACTACTATGTTCCAATAAAATTTTTCTATTTTCTTTTATATTGATATTCATTTGTACTCATTATAAAACTTTTTATAGTTATTTGGTGCTATCAGCAACATGTATATTTTCAAAGCCTACTTATTTTAAAATAGGATAAATCGGTATAATATATAGAAAACTGCAGATATCTTTCAAGTTCATTTCAAATATGGCAAGTGTTGAATATTTAAATTCAGAGAAAACATTAATTTTATATGGACCTAAAACATACAAATGCACAAAGAAGCAACCAAAAACTATTTGCAATTGAAGACCAAATCTGAAATCTATTTTTTCATATTTCTTGGAAAACAGAAAGGGAAAGTAAAATTCATGTAACTCTAAAAATAAAGATTTTAAAATCTATTAATTATTGTTTCATTTGCTAAAAGTTTTATTATGTACTTCTCCCTGGATTAACATTATGAAAAAGGCCTTGTAACAGAGAGACTAAAGGTTTTCTAACAATGAAAAAGAGAATTGCCTAACAGAAAATAGATAGCCTGCATTCAGTGCACTGGACTCAGTATTCTAAGTATACTATAAGACATATGTTAGTGGTCATGTGCATAGATATTAACACTGCATGCTAAGTCTTAGTGCAAGCTGAGTTTTAGATATAGACATACAGTCTTTTTGAATCATGATACTACTTAGTTAAGTTTTCTTGGAATTTAGTCTTTTCATCAACTTTATTTGTACAATGTCAAACATGATAATGATCTTTTAAATTTGACTACCTTTTATATATTTTTATACAATGCCCAAAACATTTTAAATATACAATAAAATTAAAGCGGTCATAATATTATTGGTAGTGGTTTTTTTTTTCCTTTTAACTCTGCCCTGCCAGTGAAAATGGAGAGGTGTTGCTAGTACCCTTGAAAAATCGAGTCATTTCACTGCTCCGATTCTAAGAATTATCATAATGAAGGAGAGGAGGGGAAAGTAAAGGGGAAGAAGAGGAAAGCAGCAGAAGAAAGAGCAAGAAAATGACAATTTATTAGTGGCTGTTAAATTTGGTCAATTTTTTGTAGTGCCAGAGATACCTTCTTCAGTTTTCTAATTCATACTTTACCATTGATTTATTTGGGTTTTTACTGATCAGACACGGCGATGACCTATCACATTAAGTTTGACAAAAATCCAAAAGTTATAAAGTAAAAAAAAAGTTGATAAATCTGACTACATAATTTTATTTTCTTTTTTGTTATGCATTTTTATTTTTTAAATTTAATTTATTGGGGTGACAGTGGTTAATAAAATATATAGGTATAAAGTGTCCAATTCTGTAATGCATCATCTCTATATTGCATTGGATGTTTACCACCCAAATAAAATCTCCTTCTGTCACCTTATAATTTTTCAGAGATTTCTGTTTTGTTTTGGTTTAAAGCCTATCACAAATAAACTCAAAAGGAAAACTAAGTGAAAAGCAGTATTGTTCTTAGAGGTAATACCTTTAATTTGTAAAGAGCTCTTACAAATCAATAAATACATGACCAAAAAGTGAATAGAAAAATTATCAAAGTATATGAATAGGCAATGTAATTAATTATTATTAATGAAATGTGAGTTACTCTTCAATATAAAAATAAATGCTAAAACTAACATATAAAAAATGCAAGTATAAGTACGTGAGATTCCCTTTTTCACTTATATGATTGAAAAAGATTCAAAAGTCTATTAAATCTCTAAACTGGTACAATATATGAAGAAAATTTTTCAGTATTATTACATTTTAAAACTTTGAATTTGTAATTATACTTCTAGTATTTTATCTTACAGATGTACCCACGCATATGTAAAACAAAATATGTGCTTAGTACTTATTGCAAGCATTGCTTTTAAGAACAAACTATGGGAAAATATAAATATAAATAACCTAAATATTTATCAATGTAGACACCTGAACTATATTATTGGTACATCCATTAACAGAATGCCGTGCAGCTATTAAAAAAGAATTAGGGATCATCTAATGCTATGATCAACTTACAAAGCAAAGAAGTGCTTTAGGTTACGGGAGGGCTAGAGAACACTTTATCATGGACTTCTGGGGTAGGAAGGGTTGTTAGAGATCATTTAAGACAGACTCCTCGCTTTTCACTGAGGAACTTCAAGACTAGAAAATAGACATGATCTGTCCAAACATTTCAGTGAACTAGTGACACAGGCAAGATTCATTTCTATATCTCAGTCTTCCCTTCTACCAAGTTGGAAGGTTATGGACTTATAGGCTTGTGGGAGGGCTGCAGTTTTAGTAGGTGTTTCATTAATACGGAGACTTCAACAGGATTATTCAAGCTGAGGAGGTATTACAATTATTAGAACAAATGATTTTTCTAACTATATTTAAACATTTCTGGAGAACAAATTTATTGTAATTTGATGATAGGTTAGTCTAGATATGCATGCTTTGGTATTTGTGTAACAAATATTTTAAAGATTTTTTTCCTCTTTATAACACAATAAGTTGTGTTTTGATTTTATAGTCCAAGCAAATGCACTCTCATAAGCTAATAGCTCTGATCCAGGTGGTATATTTTCCTTAAATAGTCTTGGGCAAAGAGTAAGAGTAAATCAACATGTCATGATTGATTTTATTCCCCTTAGCATGTATTCAATCACATCCTCTATATTGACCAAAGCAATGCTTGTTTTTTGATAAGAGATTTAGAATGAACCTAAACTAATAAAGGTCACTTTTTAAGTATCTAATAAGTGCCAATGACTTTCAGTGTTACATTTGACATCTATCATCATGGCATTGTATGGTGAGTAACATAGCTTGTCCCCATTTTATAGATGATGAAACTGAGAGGCTAAGTGAAAGCCAAGATTTTAATGCCTATATGTCTACAGCCATTTCCTATTCATTGCAGCACCACAAGTAAAAACAGACTCAGCAGCTGAGAATTTACTCTCTTCTGTTAATTTTCTAAAGACTTGTTCTGAGATCAACAAAATTATAGCAGCAACTAGAAATTCATAAGCTAGAAAGAGCCTGTAAAAGCTAAAATAAATATCATAAAGTTTAACTACTAAATCCCATATCTTTAGCCCAGAGTGTTAGGGATGGATAGAGTTTTCAGGTCAAAATACTGGAAAAGAAAGAACTACAAAGATATATAGCTGCAGAAAGTCACAGAGGGCTCTCCTCAAGTACTTGACTACATATCCATCAGTGCATATGTGTGAGGAAGTTATCTGGAACCTGGGAAAGAACCAGCAGAAAAGAGATGGGCTAAACAATCCTCTCTTGGGCCAAGGGGGAGTTTAGGTTTCCTCTATCCAGAGTAGAGTTTTAGAGATGTTTTGCTTTGGTAGGACTAAAAGAATTGCGATAGACTAAAAGCTAATCTGAATCTTCACTAACAAAGCTTAGAAAAAAAGCCCTGAACCCATCAAACTGATTCCAAGTAACTTCACTGTTTCACAAAACTAAATCCAGTAACTTTTACAGGAATGGGTAGAGAAGGGGGAAAGGAACTAACATTGCAAAATGCACAATGTATTCACAATGAAAAATGACAAGACATGCAAAATAGCAAAAAGGTACGGCCTATAAGCAGAAGATAAAACAACCAATAAAATGAAAGTGAGAAATGACATATGTAATAAAATTATCAAGCAAGACTCTGGAAGTACCTAATACACATACTTCTTATGCTCAAGAAGGTAGCAGAAAAGATGAATATGTTATGGAAAAAATGAAAAAGATTAAAAAGCTCAAAGTCAGATTTCTAGAGATGAAAATGGGAATGCCTGAATGCAAAGTACACAGAAGAGATTAGGTTAAATTGGATCCTGTACGTAACTTGTGTTTCCTTCTTTCTCAATGCTTTTAACATGTTTTTCTTCTGCTGATATTCAGCAATTAGATTATGATGGGCTTTGGTGTGATTCTCTTTAAGTTCCTTTTGACTAGGTTAGCTGCCCTTCTGAGATTTCTGGATTTATAATTTTTATAATATATGGAAAATTATTGTTTATTTAGCAGTGTTGCTTAATAAAGTTTAATTTTCCCCAAATTGATTTATGATTCAATGCAATTCAGCTAACATACTTGAGGAAATTGGGATGCTAATTATCTAACTTACATAGACATGTGAAAAGACAAGAATAACCAACGGACTCTTGAAGGAAGACATACTACCATATGTCAAGAATTCTAATGTTAATGTTATATTAAAACTAATATTAAGACTGTATATTAAGATTTAGTGGTATTGGTAAAAGAACAGGGAAACATGCTAAGGGAACACGCCTGAGAGTTCAGGAACAAAAAAGCATGTATACAGTCACCTAACTTATAAAAAGAGATGATACTCAGAGCAGAAACAAAATGATGGTGCGTGGTCAGTTGTTTATCTACATTTAAAAAAACTTGGTTCTAATCTCACAGTTAACAAATATTAATTCCAGGTTTTTATGTATGTATTTTGTATAAATTGGAAAAAATACATATTTTAGAC